TGTTAAAATAAATATGCATGTTAAAAGACTAAATAAATCTAACTACTGGAGTTAAATATGAGAAAATGGGAAAAGAAAAATGAAACCTTCCCATCAATTAAAACATGATGGAGCCAAATGAAAAGGATATGGAAAAACAAAAAAATTATGAATAACAGCTATTTGAAGAAGAGGGATGATGCAAGGAGAAATAAATTACAAGAAAAAAAAAAACTTATTCAATAAAAATTGAAATATTTATATATATATCCAAGATAACAATTACCATTAAGCTTCTCTCTTTCGATTTCCGTCTACAATTGTCAATCTTTATTCGCTACAATTTAAGGTTTGGAAGATTTCACAGATTTTTCTGAGTTGAGAAAGTATTTTAAGATCTTGGTACATCAAATAACTCAAAGCTCATCTGAATCTCCCCTACCTAGCTTTTAGAGTTTTATCCACCGCAACATCTAGGTAGTTGAATCATATATATATAATATTTCAATTTTTATTGAATAAGTTTTTTTTCCCTGTAATTTATTTCTCTTTGCATCATCCCTCTTCTTCAAACAGTTGTTATTCATAATTTTTTTTTTTTTGTTTTTCCATGTCCTTTCCATTTGGCTCGATCATGTTTTATTTAATGGGAAGGTTTCATTTTTCTTTTCCCATTTTCTCATATTTAACTTCAGTAGTTACCTTTATTTAGCCGTTTAACATGTATATTTATTTCCTTTTATGTTGAAGAAATTTTTTAAATTGAATTCTAAAATGTTTCAGACCTCTATTGCACGCCAGGATTTATATGGCTTTCTTCAATGTTAGTAAATCAACATATTTATTAGTTAATTAAAGTTGTTGATATTGTGCCTTAACAACCATAGGATTAAAGACTTGCAGATATTAGGACACAAATTTTCTTGGAATGATATCATATTTATTAGTTAATTAAGTTGTTGATGTGACGCCTTAACAACAGTAGGATTAATTATTTGTAGATATTAGGAGATAAATTTTCTTGGAGAGTATCCGTTTCCAAGATTGATGAAGCTTCAAAAAAAACTTAAGAAAAGTTTTGAAAATGGTGCTTTACATACATTGAAAAGCCTTCGACGAATTTTTGACATAGTGGTTAATGTCTTATGGACTTAAAGGACCGTGGTTTAATGATGTGACTAGAAGTTAAACGCACCCAAGTATGTTTAATAATGTGTCCTAAACATGCTCCTTGTGATTGATTAAAATGATGCAGTTATATGTACATTCTGTTAAATAGAAAAGTTGTCAAAATTCTTATTTTTTAATTAAATTTTAAGAGTTTGAAAGGCCATAAAAATGAAATTTTTAGAACCAAAATAAACTTTAAAAGTGGTGGAAAATTGTGCAGAATTATTTCATTATTGAAATGATTTGAAAAATAAAACTTTCTCGATAAAAAAGGAGCTATTTTGGAAATTCGACGGTTATAATGTAACTAATTTTTATTTTTATTTTTTTAGAATAGAAATAAACCTTAAATGATTAACTAAGATGCCAAAACATGAATTACCCTAAATGATCAAAAATACAAAATATATGCAAAACTGTGACACTATTGCAATTCGAACAAAATTTAGATTGAACCCATGATTGAAAGAACTTTTTTGGGTTACGAAAATAGCATTCGCAAAATGTTTTAAGTTGAAAAAGTATTGAGAATTTAATTAAAATAGTATGCCTTTTGGAATTTTTGAAAAATCACTAATTTGACAAATTTTCGACAAAAATATGTTTTAAAAATAAAATACAAGGCTTTCATGATATGCAAAACTAAAACTTTGAATTGAAAGTTTACTTAAATTATATATATCAAATCCTTTTAAAAAACATAATTTTAAAGAATTATATAAGACAGTCAATTTTCGTAATTTTAAAATTTTGACAGAATAACGGCAACGTTTTAAAATTAAATTAACTTGAATATGCAAAAAAATTCTATTAAATTTATTAAAATGAACCAATTTTAAAAAAATTTCAATATATGACGAAAAAAAAAAAAACAGAAGGTCAAAACAACACGACGTCGTGTTTGCTTGGCCTAAAACATCCAATTGCACAACCCCCACTGTCTTCGGAGTCGCCAGAGTCGAGGTCTTCCCGCCGCCATCTTTAGCGGTTGTTCTTAAGGTGGTCTTGGCCAAGCCTCAAAGTGATGGCGATGGTGCTGTTTTTAGGTGAAGCATTGGAAGGTACTGTCATTTTCTTAATTTTGTTTCGTGAATTCCTTTTTCAACTTTCTTATAGTATACTTGGGAGTCGATTCAATTACATTCGTATTGGGTAAAGTTTGGTGCTCATTTTCTTAATTTTGTTTCGTGAATTCCTTTTTCAACTTTCTTATAGTATACTTGGGAGTCGATTCAATTACATTCGTATTGGGCAAAGTTTGGTGCTCATTTTCTTGATCTGTTCACATTGGGTCAAATGTTCATTTCAGTTATTCTCTTTCTTTGATTCACTATGCTGCGTCTACTTTGTTATTTTAAGGCCTGTTAGAAATGTAAATTTTTTTTGTGGATGATATAAATTGTCATTCCTTACAACTGATGTTTTTATGCTATTTAGCATATAATTTTCCCTCTATTGAAAAACAAATATAATTCTGGGCCAAAAAAAAAAAAACAAAAAATATATTTAAAAATGTGCACCATCACAGCTTTTTCCCAAGTAAGGGCATAATTGTTTTGGAAAGATTATACTACTGCTAAGCAGAATTTTTTTTTTCTTTCTCCTATGCTAAATACAAGAATTTAGGGTCCATCTTAGATAACGAGGAAGTAACAGGTGGTGGATAGTCTCCTAGATTTTGTTAAGTGAGAGAAACAGAAATGTTTTCCCTAGTATTTTTTATAAAGGCAATATGTGTAAATTGCATTCATTTTTTCAAAATTTTTATTTTTATTTTTATAAGTATTCATTTTTTTCAATTTAAATAGGTGAGACAAGAGTTTTTTAGATTCAACAGAATATTTACTCTGTCAGCCTTGTGAGATAAGTATGGTAATTATCTGTCATTTCAACAAGGAAGTTACCCGCAACTCTGCAAGCAATAGTTTCATCTATGCATTGGACACTAGAGAGTCTTAGACACATCTATATCCTGACACTTTGTTTTGAAAGACGAAAAAAATAAAGCATAGACTGCAACTTCTGTTTTTTTTTTTTTTTCCTAGTTGGTACTCACACACCCCGTCCAAGGAATTGTTTGCACTCAAGATGAGTCGAACCTTAGACCTGATGCTTCCTGAGGCACTAGGGCCAAGTGACTTACCTACTTGAGTCAACCCCTTGGGGTTTATAGACTACAACCTTCGATAGTATTTTTAAATGACAATGTCAAGACAGCTTTTTAATCAATTGTCTCAATTTTTGCAATTAAGTGAATAAAATAAGAGAAGCTATGAGGGAATACACAGGTTTACAGCTACAAAGATACGACTAATGATACACATTCTAACTCTCAATTTGGAATGTGAGAAAGGGTGTGATACCACTATAGCAGTATAACACACAGGTAAAGGCGATCACTTCTCTCTCACATTTCAAATTGAAAGTTTGAAATAAGACACTTTCTTAATATATATAATACTTATGCATAGAAACAAATTTAGAGAGAAAAAGTAAAAATCTGAAAACACAAATGTAGAAAAAGGCATGGCAGACTGAATTACAAAGAATAGATAATGGGAGCTAGCTTAGTAGTTGTTTTTGTTTTTTAATTATTTGATGCAGGCAGAATTACATGTATAGAAGAGAAGAAAAATTTACAGTATACAAGGGGCATATACCTGCTAAAACAGAGAACTCAACACGATAGAATTTAGATCAGGTTTCTCTTTGGTTTTGAGTTTCTTTTTTATGGCTAACCACAAGCCGAAGGAGTGCTTTGGAACATTTTGGTTAGACCATACGAATGCCAATGAAATGGGTTGTGGTTCAGGGACATGGTTTTGATGGTGTGGGAGATGAAGTATTTGCCATTGGGAGATGGTTTCCAAGAGATAACATGTTGGAAGGGTCTGTGAGGAGGGACCAAATTTGTCTAATAACTGCAGCTCTATTCCAGGTTTCCAACTCAGGGGTGCCCAAACCTCCAGTACTTTTAGGTTTGCAGATGTCAGTCCATGGAATTTTTGCACTGCATTTAGTAATAACTTGGCCAGACCATAGGAACATGGAGAGAATTTGATTCATTTTACTGATGATTTTCGAAGGTAAAATAAAGAATATTTGTCCAGCAGCAATGGATGTTATTGAGAGTTGCTTGGATTAATTGTAATCTACCTGCAAATGACAGGACTTTGTTTCACCAGTTAGATATCTATCTAGCATCTTTTCAATGATGGTTAGGCAGTCAATGGAGGTCAGTCTGATAAGGGGGTCCCTAGGTACTTCTGGTATGGCTGTCTGTAGGGAATCCAAAGATATAGGTGATAGTGGTCTGGTCACACGCTCAAGAACTCCAGCAAGGAGAGTAGGGCTTTTCAAAGGTTTTGGACTAATTTTAGAGAGATTTGAAATATATCTAAAGCCTTTTTGAGAATTCCTGTGGAGTTGGGATCCCCATGGGAAAATTAAAGGATGTCATCTGCAACGGCAAGGTGGGAAATTCTGAGGGAGTTGCATCTCCAATGGAAAATGAATTCAGGGTTGTCATTTATGCATTTGACAATAATGGAAACGAGACAATGGCTAAGACAAATAGATAGGGTATATTGGGTGCCCCTGTCTAATGCCCTTAACATTTTTGAAGAAACCACATAATTCTCCATAAATGAGATAGCAAATGAAGTCGTGGAGATGCAACAAGATATCCAGTTGATGAAAGGGAGAAGGGAAAATTCATGAGCTCAAGCATATCAAGAATGAATGGTACCTTCTCAACAATTCTTGAGCTAGGATTGTATTGTTCCCATTTTTTCTCCCATTGTCAGTGGAATTTTTGCAATGTCAATAATTTGGAGTAGAATCGATTTCAATTTGATGGTTAAAAGTTTAGAAATACATTTGTAAAGGACATTACAGCAAGAAATAACCTAATTTTTTTTGGGAAAGGTGGGGTAGGGGGATCTTAGGATTTAGAGCAAGATAAGTTGCATTTATTTTCCTAAGAATTCTTCTATCTAGCTTTGTTGCTACCACTAAGAAGATAATATCTCGGAAACCAATATATATATATATATATACAGGGTTAATATACTCAATTTTTTTAACTGCAATATATGATCCAAATACGTACCAACACCGACTCTTTTAAAAGCCATTACCAAAAGTACCTCCCCTACCTTACTTATGGTGGACCTTGGGTCTTCCTCTACTCATTCCTCAACAAGGTACTCAAATTTCAAACTATCACATGCATCTATAATACAAGGAATGAATGACTTTTCAAACTCATCATTTTCATGATCCAAAAGCATTTCAACTACCTTACTCATGGTAGGTCTTGTATTTTTGTCTTCCTCTGCACATTGCAAAGCCACTCTAACCAGAAGTTCCATCTTATTTTTGTCATATTCACCATCCATGGCAGTGCCTATGATTTCTTCGATCCATGATCCATTTCCTGTAGTTTCATGCATCTTCTTTCTCACCCATGTGACCAACCTTCTCTGCTCCATCCCCCCATTATCATCCATGGCATGGACAGTACCAGTCGGGCTTCTTCCGGTTATCATCTCCAACATGACAACACCATAGCTATAGACATCAACTTTGGATGTGATGGGAAGATTAAAAACCCAATCTGGAGCCATGTAACCTCTAGTTCCTCTGATCCTAGAGAAGCTAGAATTACCAATGCTACCTCTGTTGAAGAGTTTAGACAGCCCAAAATCTGCTACTTTGGGTTGGTAATTCGAGTCCAAGAGTATGTTCTGAGGCTTTACATCACAGTGTAAAACCCACTCCAAGCATTCTTCATGTAAATAAGCTAGGCCTTTTGCAGTACCCAAAGCAATTTCAAACCTCTTCTTCCAATCAAGCATGTTGGAAGTTATGTTTTCTGCTAAAGAACCATGCTCCATGTACTCATACACCAAAAGCCTGTGCTTTCCCTCCACACAATAACCCCATGTCTCTATCAGGTTCATGTGATTAAGTCTCCCAATGGTGCTTACTTCTGCTAAGAATTCCTCTTCGCCCTGATTGGCTTCCGTAAGACGCTTTATTGCTGCAACTCTATTGTCAGACAAAGTACCTTTATATACAACACCACTGCCTCCTCTCCCAATCTCTATGCTGAAATTACTCGTTGCCTGCTTAAGCTCAGCATATGTGAATTTTGTGAATCCAGTTCCTACTTGAAGGTAACCATTCTCAGTTGCATGAGAGCCTTGACGGTTTCTATACAAGACATAGGACACGAGCAAGAAACCAATGATCTCAACTCCTCCACATCCACAGGCGAACCAAAGCATGAACTTCACCGTGCTGTTTTCTTGCTGCTGCTTGTAATTTCTGTAAAGGGGTGTCGTAACTTGTTGCGAGCAATCTAATCGGAATTCTTGACTGGGCTTATCATAGGAGGAGAGATTAGATTTGGGCAATTTTATGTACATGGTTTCTTCAAATCCCTCCGAGCGATATCCATCGAGCAACAGAGCCTTGGTGTAACAAAGATAGTAACCATTAGTTCTGTCATATTTGAATTGAAACCCTTTGCAATTGCAATTCTGGGAACACTTCTCTTTACACCTCTCGAAGGTTTGATTTGGGAAGTACGCAAGATCCTGGCCATAGAAATCAACATGAGGAAGTTTGATGAAAACAGCCTCCTCATTGCACAAGAGATTGAAATATGGTTCACAACCATAAGACCAATCTCTTTGATTTTTCATCTTGAATCCCAGTATGCAATTGCATCTCCTACCTCCTTTACGATGATAAGTGCACACACTGTTGGGTCCACAAATGCCATGAATGGTGCATGGGTTGGACTTGGCTTGCCATGTAACAACCCAAGCTCTCAACTTCTCATTTAGACTATACAATCTAATGTTGCCATCAACATCAACAGTCAATCTTCTCTTAGGTCCTGTGCCCAAATCTGCAGCCGAGAACTTCAAATTATCAGATGACTTGAAATGGCCAGAGGGATCGAGTACTGCAATTCTACTATTGTTGTACGTGGACCTTCCAAGTTCCCATGGTTGCAACCACGGGTTAGGCCAATAAAAGCTGGAGATTTCAAGACCATCAAATTGGAGGCGGAGCACATTGTCACCATCGATATAAAGCTTGTAGAAACCGGAAGAGTAATTGCTTTGGCTTCTTGATGAAACAAGCATTGTGTTTTTGGTGAGTGGTTGTAGGGGAAGAAGAGTATCCGTTGGTGAATTAAAGCTTTGCCAAAGAATTTTACCCTCCAAAGTATGAAGAACAAGATTACCAGTATCATAAAGTTCCAGCTGCACCAAAGAAGTTGTCGTGGTTTCAGTGGCCCAAACAATAAGACGATCAGCATCTGTCAAGATAATATTACCAGTTTTTAGCACGGAGAGCTTTGAGCGTCTTCCATTAACTGGTTGGTCTCGATTGGCCATCCAAACCACCGTGTAACTCCCATCATCTAACGATTGACTATACCATATTGCAAAGCAATATGCGTTCTTGCCCACCGGATAGAACCCCGAGGAGAAAACGCGGTTCGCTGAAATTAAAACGTTGTTTGGTTTTTCAACGGAGAGGGATAAGCCTTTGGTTATTCTAAGAAGTGTTGAAGATGAAAATGGTGAAGAGAGGAGAAGAGAAACGACAATGAATAAAAATGGAGCACACATAATGGCTTTAGCTGCTTAGAGTTGTATGTAAGTTATGATTAACTGTTGAAGGCGGATGTGTTAATATATATAATAGATACAGACAATACTCTCATGGAGGTGGAAGAGTTTACACTGCTCATTAAATTCTATGTACTGTTGACCAAGTCTATTAAATTCTATCATTTCCATCATTTTATAAATATTGGTAGTGCGTAAGTTTGAACCCTTAGATGAAGAGTAACAGAGCAATAGTAATGTTGATGAAAATTGCTTGAAGTCACCATTTTAAAGGGTGTATGCTCATTTAAGTCTTAAAAGAGTTTGCTATTGAGTTCTTTGACAAAACACTTTAAAAATATAACAATGTCTGAATTTATGCAATACTGAAAAAATCCCTTATTCTATTGAAATTATTATAATTAGGGTTGTACAAAAAATCGATTGAACCAATAAATCGAATCGGATTGGTAGGTTTGGTTCTGTTTTTTCACGGTTAAACTCTATTTCTTGTTACGTAGATAAAGAAAATATCCAATAATTATATTATTGTAAAGATTTTGTAAATTGTTATCATTATTTAATTTTATAATCTATTTATTTTAATTAATATATCAGTGTGATTATTTTAGAAACTTATTTTAATTATCATTTGAAAAAATAATTATTTAATTATTTGATTGAATATTAATTTTAAACTAGATTTTACTATTGTGCTTGCCGTTTTACTAGTGTGTATATATATAAGTGAAATGAGAGAATAATAACTAGAATTCGGCCACCTTATTTACAGAGTAACAAAGGGTTGCAAGTTCAAACTTAAAAAAGTGCGACTGTTGAATTAAAACTCAAAAGGTACGAACAATGATTCAAATTCGAAGACATTTGAAGAGGCCTGATTCTTATTATGAAGAGTCAAAAATATGCAAATCGTGACTTGTCACTGAGTAGTATGTGACATTGAGTGGGCCTACAGGGTGTCATATTCAATGTGCCGGTCTTTTGAGGGTTGGACTCTCACTCAAATTGAGGCCTTGATAGCTATATGATGGTCACTAAAATGTCTTTTTATAAATGATATTTTGAAATATGACTATTGTTTAATTAGCTATTTGCAAAAAGTCTATGCGTAATGAAATCTTTCACACAAGAAACTCGCATCTATGGAGGACCCCCCACAAAAGAAACAAACAAACAAGCCTAACAAGCCAAGGAAGGAATGCAAGAAATTTATTTTTATTCGGGTAATGTTATTATGAGGTCTTTTTCGTGAGTTTTATCATGAGTGTTTTTTTATTATTTTTGTATGCAAGTTTTGAGTTAGGAATATGACTACTTAGAAGTGGACTAAATAAAGATTATATAGGTAAAATTTCGTTCAAAAATTCATTAACATTAAATCATACAAATCGATCAAAATTTTACATTCTTTTTCTTATCTAAATTACGTTATAAACTTTGATCGACTTGTGTAATCTACAGTAAATAAATTTTTGAATGAAATTTTAACTATAAAATCATTGTTTAGTCCTTTTTAAGTAGTTTTATTCGTGCCTCAAAATTTATACATAATTATGACAAAAAAAAGGGGAGAGCTCGTGAGAAATCTCATGAGGAGACCTCATAGTAGCATTATTTTTTTTTAATTTTGTGTCTTGACAAGTAATTTATACACCCACTTTATTCCTGTCTTGACGAGTACCCGAGCCTTCAATCTTGTGAGGTAGAGAGGATGTGACTAGGTTGTAGTCATTGGTGGTGAGACAGAAAATGTGCTTGGTTTGTATCTGTTTTCGGAGAGCTATCTTTTATATTTCTATAAAAATAAAGTTAGTTAGTTGATTCTATTAGCAAAAGTATTGGAACTCCAAATGAAAAAATTCACCTCAACAATCAACACGCGTCCTTAGTAGAATTTGAATTCCCAACATTTCCTTTACGAAGGTGGAAGATACCACCATGCTAAAGATTTTAGCAAAAATTCTCAAACTTGACATCATAAAAAGGAGGACAAAAGAGGAAAACAAAAATTTGTGGGAATTCTCAATATGTTAGAATGATACCACAATGTTAGTCCCATACCCCTCCAAAATCTTGACTTGGGTATGATCAATTGAACCAGCCTAAGCCAAAAAGATCTTCATGATGATTGAATTTGGTTGCCTAATACCAAATTCGAAAATAGTATCAAGAGAACATTCAATTTATTTTACCAAAAAAATCCAAGTAGTCGTCGACAGATACATCCAAGCAATACTATAGCTGATGAGGACGAGTCATCCTCAGCATCTTATTTCCCACAATGGTCCCTATTCGGCGATAGAATATGTCAATCTGTTAATATAATTGATATATTATAAGGAAGGGTATTTTGAAAAATTTAATTTAAAATTTACTTTATTCTAGTTTTGTATTTGGTCTAATCAATCACGGGTCCATTTCTATATCATTCTCTCTTTGCATATGAAGAATTCTCATTCTATTCCTACTCGCATTCCATGCCTGCTGTTATAAAGGAATCTTATCCTATATGCTTTGTTATCTTATCCGATTGGGTATAATTTGACAGAGCATGAGCAATTTGTTAAAGATAGTTACTATATGCTTTAAATCATCAAGATTTAATCTAGTAGGTTACACTGTCAATGAATTTATATAATCCCATAACAGTCTAAAACCTATGGAAGTTATTTTAATTTATCCGATAAAAAATAGTGCTTTTTTAATTTAATTTAATTTTAATTTTAATTTTTTTTTTTTTTTCTAAAATACTTGTGTATGGAGTGGGTTCAACCATTGCATTGACCACACCAAAATTAAATCTAACTAGTTTGGAAGTATTTATTGAACACACACTGGAACAATGTTAGATTTTATTTTATTTATTTATTTATTTTTTAACATTACAAACACAGCAATGTTGATTCAAGAAGCCAACAGTGGCACCTACAATCATGGGTCAGTAGCTCCCAAGGATTAGGCATTTCTAGTCCAATGGCATATAAGTCAAACAATAGCCAAGGTACATGGAAGAATTATGCTCTTTGGTGTTGTAACTGGTGTAGCGTTTTTTAACGTATTTATGCATACTTTTAAGACGTCTCATTTATATTTCAATACAAATACACAAAAAATGTATTGAAACTTGAAATAATGTGTTGCAAGTAGATGTGAATGCTTTAAAAAATAATAATAATAAAATAAAATAAAATAAAATAAATTCATGTTTTGATTTTCAAAAACAAATGTAAAGGCGTTAAAACACGCTACAACAGTTATAACACCAAATGTGCCACAGCAGTGGATCCGAGTTATAAGGGAAGGTGGGTATATTACTCCATGAATTAAGTGAATTTGGTTTTTACAGTTTTCAGAGGAGAATTATGCAAAGGTATCTTCATATGTGGTTGTCGTGTTTCTAAAATTATTGTCATAGGGGACATGTAGGGTGGGAGAAGAAGATGTTAGGAAGTGGAGAAGTTTGAGTTTTGATGCAAGTAGTTCAATTGAGTTGTGAAAGGTGAGTGGATGATGTGAAGTGTGAAGACCCCAAGAGATTCATCCTTATCAACCAATTTTTAACGTGTAATTGACTCTATGCCCTCGTCTAGTTGTTTAGTTAGGTCTCTCATAAAAACAACCATATATATCTATACTATTATATTATTAAAAGTGTAAAGAGGTTAGTATTAATTTATAAATATAAAAAATATATAATAATTAATATAAAAAGAATTTTTAAAAGAATTTTAATAAAATTCTAACACAAATTATCTATTAATTATGAGTTTTTATTTTTTCAATTAATATGAATTGTTTAGAAGAGTTTCTATAAAACTCAAATTACCTATTTATTATTACGTAGATAAAGAAAATATTCAATAATTATATTATTGTAAAGATTTTGTAAATTATTATCATTATTTAATTTTGTAATCTATTTATCTTAATTAATATATCGGTGTGATCATTTTAAGAAATCTATTTTAATTATCATTTCAGAAAATAATTAATTAATTATTTTGTTGAATATTAATTTTAAATTAGATTTTACTATTGCAGGTATCGTTTTACTAGTATATATATATATAAAAGAGTAAGGAGAGAATAATAATTCGAAATCAGTCACCTTATTTATAGATAAAAATCCTCTTCAGTGCAAGAGTTGTCCAGCACTAGAGATGGCAATGGGGGCAAGTTTGGGCGGGTGTACCCTCACCCGCCCTCACAACCATTTAAAAAATCCGCCCCCATCCTCGTCCAAAACCGCAAAAATGGGGGAACTTTCCACCCCATTCTCGTAATTGTTTAACATTTTTACTCGTGCAGGTACCCGCCCCACCCCATTTAAGACCACAATTTCACCTCGCCCCGTTTAAGATCATAATTTATTTATTGTTGAAATAGATTTTTTTTTTTTTTTTTTCCTTCACCATTGCAACTTTCATTTGTTACTTTAATATTGTTATATAGGGTATTTTAGTATATAAGGATAAATATATATATTATTGAAATAAAGGTATTTAAGTAAGTTGCCTGTCTAAACAGGGCGAAGCGATGCGGGGTGACCTTTGACCCCCTTACCAAAATCATGCGAGTTTTTATTATATGAAATTATTTGTGTCCATATAAGTAAAACGGTTTTCAAAATTGTCAAAAGCACGACAGGATGGGCAGATCGGGTCAAATTGTCATTTCTATTATCAAGTGACAAATGAGACTCCTTAATAATGTTGTAATCTTAATCACTTGATACGGTGCTGACCTATCTTGGACAGGATCTTTCTCCCCTGTCAATTCGAACTCGAAAGATGCGACTGGCAATTAAAACTCAAAAGGTGTGAATGATATTCAAATTCTGAAGACATTTGAAGAGGCGTGTTTCTTATTTTGAAGAGTCAAAAATATGCAATTGTAACTTGTCAAAAGTAAGTAGTAGGTGACCATTGAGTGGGCCTACTGGGTGTCAGATTCAATGTGCCGGTCTTTAGTGGGTTGGACTCCCACTCAAATTGAGGCCTCGATAGCTATTTGATGTTCACTAAAATGTCTTTTTATAAATGATATTTTGAAATGGGACTATACTTTTTATAATTATCTGTTTGCAAAAAGTCTTTGGGCACACAAGAAACTCTTATCTAAGGATCATGTGTTCCTTTTTTTTTTATTATCATTAAATTGAAGCATCATGGGTGGCT